ATTCTTTCCAAGTGTTCAGGCTGAAAGCTGAAATGCATGGCCATTCTCTGATAGAGTTGGGAGTTGGATCAAGCCCTGAATACCGTAATGGTCCTTTGTGTGTGTGTGTATACGTGTTTTTCTTTTACCTGCTAAGTAAGTGTTTTGTTCTGTTTTCAGAGGAACTGAGGACTAAACTGCAGTTAAGATTTAGATCAGTTTAAAATGCACATCTTCTGCTCTAGCTGAGCATAACTGCATTTATGCTTGTTCTTGGACTATTTCAGTTGTAAAGACTCCTGATATTTTGTTCTACTTACTGTGTGTGCAGGAAAAAAAAATAAATCCTGTAGATTAAAGTGTGGATGAACTGATTTTAAAAGGCAGATGCTGACATACAGAGAAAGGAAAGTCTTTTTGAAGGAAACTTTGTTTAAACTGATCTCAGAATACTGTAACTTTCCAACTGATAGCATACCTCTTTTTTATAGTTTATAAACAGAACCTTTTTTCCTAACCATGTATGATTCTAACTTGTTCTCTGCTGTTCTTAATTTAGACTATTGTGGTGAAGTACTGAAGCCAGATCCCATACCTTGTTATGCTGAGAAAATCTGTGTTCCATCATTTTCTTTATTGTGAAAGACTTTGTTTATTCAATGTTTAATTTACTATCCTCTAGGTGACCTAAGAGTCATCTATTTTTTTATTTTATTTTTTTAATAAAAAGTATGTGTAGAGAAAAGTCAAGGTAATCTGCATGTGACTATTTTTGTCCTATGTTTAATTCCATTTTTTTTTCCCTCTGGAATACTAACAGAAAAAAATGCCAGAAGAAGAGTAGTGAAATCAATCTGTGTCTGTTTGTTATAATCATTTCAACTTAAGCCCACCAAAATCCATTGGAAAGGATATTAAATCAGAAAAGAAGTTGACAGAAAGAAATTACACAGATCTAGGAGGGCCCTGAAATATGTTTTTGAATAATATAATGTTATTATCTCTGGCATTTAATAGGTATTTTCACAAATCTCTAGTAACTTTTCATTGGATCAGATGGATTCAATATTAATTATAAATTTGTTTACTCATGTATACTGAACAAAAGCATCCAATTAAAAAAGTGCTTGGAAACAAGAGTGGCAATGGTAGATAGCAAGATTCTTGCATTAGTTGAGATGGAATACAAAAGAATATATATATATGTATTTATATTTATTTAACTGTTCTTACCCTGTTTTTTAGGGCAGCCTTTAAAATCTAGCACTGAATAATGCTACAATAGATAGATATAGATATCCAGATATTCTATTTAATAGAGCTACAATCAAGCAGTGCAAGTCTTTTCTCACAAGAACGAAATTTATTGCATTCCAGAAGGCCAATCATGAACATCTCTTTCTGTAGTCAGCCTTAGCACTTGCTCTCTATTCAAGGATTCATTTTAATCTCAATGGTTGAAGAAAACTGGCAAAGGCCAGAACTCTTTCATAGAGGGTTATCTGGCCACATGCTGGTTCCTCATTGGCTTATTTCTGGGGATAAAGCTCTCAGGTTCTGTGAGCTTTATGGGATTTAGGTAAAGATTACACTTTATTCTTCAGTCTTTAAGGATATTGCTAAAATACCAACTGTTCTACTGGCTTTGTCCCAAAAGTGAAGGTCTAGAAACAAAAGATTACAATGCAGAGTGCCATAGAAGGTTATATGATTTTTTTTTTCCCTCATTATCTCATCAAAACTTTGAGTTTTCTGTATAAATTAGGTCTTCATGAAGTGCTTGAGAGACGTGGCAGATCTTGTTTAGGATTTCTGAACACATAATAGGAGAGGATGTGACATCACAAATTGTTAGCACACCATGAGCTTCTTAAAAACATAGTCCTTCAGTATAGTTCAATACTTTAGGGGTACTTTTGGCAGAGTTTTCTGTGGTAGAACCCAATATGTCTAAGCCGCTCACTGGAGTATAATTTTAGGCTGGAACCCATGCCATCGTCTCTTTGAATATCAGGCGAAGATTGAAGTGGAAAGACAGCAAGAGTAAAGTAGAAGGCTGCTAATTGAAAACTGGACCTGGAAGTTTAAGGCAAATTATATTCATAGTAGCTTAACACAGATTTCCTGTGTTGTGCATAGTTTCACCTTTTCCTCACAACAAGAAGTGTGCTTTAGATGCAGTAGAGGTAAGTATCTTATGGAAAGGTTTGGTTTTCAGTTGCCAAGTACATGCTATTCTTCCTGAAATCTGCAATTTTGAAATATTATTTAGATCCAAATAGTATGTGTAAGTATTTGACTCTTAATATCTGCTCTGAATATGTTGACATAGTTAACTTTTTGCTCTCATCAATAAATCTCTTGAAATTGTGATAATGAGAAAATGAAATAAACGTGTACAAATATGTAAATATTTGTAGGTAAAATGGGGCCAGATATTTTGCTGATGTAGTCTTCCATAACTGGTTAATTTAAGTGGAAGACTGGTGTTTTCCATCATTTGAGAACTCAGGCTAAAATATTTATATGTACATGTACACAAACATATGATAAAATGTATAAAGTTGGTCTCTTCATTATTTTTAAATTTAATTTAGTTTCTGAGTACATTACAGTAATTTTAATTAGTACATAGTGTGCCAACAGCGAATCATATATAGCACAGAAGCAATGAAGAAATGATGCCATTCATCACTGCATTGGCATCCAGGCTGAGTTTTGATCAGAGGTAAAATGAGCTGAGCAGTTGTACTGCATTGCTAACAGTGACTTCTCTTTGTAATGTTTAGGAGCTGGCTGTTTTTATCAAGACAGAAATTGTTTTTTATTCTTCACCTCTGATCATCTTGCAATTTACTTTGTCTTACCTGAAATTCAGTTTTACCTGGGATGGAACCAGGTTGTATTGATAAAATGAAGGGCCCTACTTGTTTCTTCTGTCTTTTGCATGCTGTGGCATACGGGCTAAAATTGGATTTAAGTAAAAGTCAGAAAATTTTTATTATAGTAAGGGTGGGTAACCATTGGAATAAATTGAAAGTGCCTGACTCAGTGAGAATTTTAAGAAATTAAACAAAAACTTATTAGGAAAGGTTTGGAGATAACTGGACTCTGGTCAAGCAGAGTGTTCTAACAGTTATGCTGAATTTTAAAGGTTGAGAAAGAGATACTTTAGAGAGAATAATTGTATTTTGTTGAGAACTGAGCAATGTCCTTAAGTACTGTTGGTGGTAATGATGAATTATATATATTATAGTACTGCAAATTTGTGCAGAATTTACTTAGAACTGGTCCACAGTCATCAGAATCGGCATATGTAATGAAATAGGCCAGACTTTACTGATTTTTTTGTCAGTGTTTAAGATGCCTTAAAAAGGGATGTTTTTATATTTTTTACCAGGTTGACACTGAATGTCTGATCAAATTACAGAGAACGCAGTTTACTGATTGGCCCACTGTAAGCAGTAGCTGTGTACTGAGCACGTTGTGATATTAAACATCAATTTATTAAACAGAAATAAAAGTTAAGGTCTTTAAAAAGTTTCAGAATAGTTTGGATATGATTACTCTACACTCAATACCTTAATTTATAAGTAATCCTCTCGATAATAATAATAAATACTGGATCATTTATAAAAATCAAATCACTGAATGCTGCTCATAAAATAACAGCAGATTTTCTTGTACTTTTCATTTTACTTGGTTTTTACGCTTCATGCTTTCTTTATGCCTTTCTAATAATTTGTTTTATTGATACCTCTTTTTTCTACCAACCTTTATTCTGAAAATCAGTTTATTGATTATCTTATCTGTAAACAAGAAATATGCCATTATTTTTTTAGCTTTTCCTGAGATATACAAGATATGGTATAGCTCTGTTGTAAGATGCAAGGTAGGCATGAATCTGCTTGATTCATAACTGCCTTATTCTAATTTTATGCTGATGTACCTTTACTGACTTTAACATGATGAATTAGATTCACGCTGAGAGGGGTATTTCCACATTTTATTTAAAGATTTACTCTGCCTTCCCTGTCATTTATGAAAACTGTACTAAATTTAGTGACCCTTTAGTGACAGGAGATATGAAGGAACCTGTTCAGATGATTATAAGCAGAAAATTTTTGTGCCTGTCTGGTTTGTATTCCCTTCACCTATGATGGTTAATTTTGGTGTGACTTGCCACTGAACAACAGCTATGAGGAACAGGAGCCCTTGTGAGCAGTGAACACTTCCACTGTTTCTAATCACTTTTGCATTTATTGGACACACACATTCACCTGTTATATAGGCTTGAAAACTTTGGAAAAAAGTGCTTGAATCTGCTGAAAAACAGTTGAATGTCTTGAAGGAAATTAGTAATCTTGTCTACTGCAATGACAGTATTTCTATGCTTATTACTACACCGTGTTGATTTACTGGATGTTATTCCTGGAAACAGCCTCCTCAGAAGTGAGATAATGGCAGTGACAGCCAATACGGATCACCTAATAGTGTTACATCATTCTCTGCATTAATTTCACACATACAGTAATATTTCTGAAAAACATGGCTGCCCCGTAGCTCTGTGTAAGTCATGTATCTTTACTGATTTGTAATTACAGGCTCTCTTTGGGAAAAAAAAAAAAAAAAAAAAAAAAAAAAAAAAAAAAAAAAAAGATACTACTGTACATCGTTCTTAGCTCTTTATCCCATTGCAATACATCATTAAACTCTTTTATAACATGTTATTTATTATGTTATGCAAAGTCTGTGGCTCTTAGGAAAAGCCTTAAAGGATTTATATTTTATTTATATATGTTTTCACTTTTTTTTTTTTTTTTTTTTCAGTTGGCTATGGCATATTTTAAATTATTTGAGGAAAAAATATTGCTTGTTGTAAAACAGATACCCTCAGGAATTCAAGACCATTTAGTTCCTCCTAGCCTCCCCCAGTTATGTTTCATCAGATTTTAGTTATCTCCCAGTGAGCATGGATTTCATAGATTAAAACAGCAATTGATTTTTTTTTAATCTTTTATTTGAATTTATCCATTTCACTGAAATACATTATGTGTCTCCAAAGAAAGCAATAAATTATAGACAAAGCAAAAGTTAAAATTAGATCTGAGTGTGGTGTAATGCCCAAAGGAAACTGTTTGGAAAGGTTACAAGCTGTCAAAAAACAATTTGTATGGTTAAAAGCCACACAGTTAGATGCTGTTAATGGAGTATCTGTAATGATTATTTAGGCATTGGTTGCTTATTATGTCTTTGAGGCAGCTATTCACTGTGCTACTTTGGAGGCTATAAAGACCTGTAATTCTGCACCTATTATACAGAAGAAATGTGTGCAAGAATGCACTGTACCACATCAAACAAACCTCTCCTCTCTATTCTCTAGGTTTTTAATCATTTTTCCCTCTTGGAATTATGGTTGATGCTGATTGTGAGAATAAAGACTAGTTACTGTAGTGAAAGGATCATAAAGTCAATCATGTGGATAAAATTACTTAGCAATTCAGCCAGCTGGTCTCTATTTGGCTTCACTTCAGTTCATTAGTTTATGGGGAGAACTCACTCCACATTTAAAGAAAGCAAAAACTGCATAAAAACTAGTTTGAAATTAATTGCAGTTTTATGTATAGAAATAGAATTGCAATGTGAGTATGCCCACTGGGCACTGATTTTTGATTACTTTTGGTATCCTTTTAAAAATAACATTATTTTGTATTTACAACCTCTTCTACACACAGGTTGTACATGCAGAATTCACCTCCTTTTCTTTAAAATGATGTGTAATACTTGAAGAGTTTTCAAATCACAATATTTTGCTAGAGGAGTAGACAACTTTAAACAATTTAGGAGCTGTTTGGAAGAGTGGCTGCATAATTCTGGCATTCTGTGCCAGTGCTCTCATGCAGGTGATTAGGTGGCATTGTGTGAACACAAGCATATGTTTGAAGTGCTGTACATCATAAACATATTGTGGTTTGCATGCTTTGCAAGAGTTAAATAGCTAATGTTAATTACTATTGTGTATAACAGTGCCAGAAATAACAAATATATTATTCTTCTAGTTTGGAAATGTTTTATAAAGAGCACATAAAAGCAGTAAGGCAACTAGGGAGTTTATACATTTCTAATCTCCTAACAGGATATCCACAATGAACCCAAATTACTCCCAGATTCTTTCAGGTCTATCTGGAGACGCCAAAGAGGCCATGGCCCGTACATTTATGTTAGCAGTTTCACGGAATGGCTAAAGAAAAATGGTATGAAAATTTTGTCCAAAATATTTTTGTAACAAAAATGTGGAACTACTGAAAGGAGATTGTTGCTTGTCAGGCTAGATCAAACACCCATGCATTAGCTGAACACAAAGCAGTGGCCTTTTTTCAGAAGTGATACACACACAGAATGTAATCTCTGAATATACTTTGACTTTGGTGGGAGGTAGTGAGTACTGAGTGGAAGTAACTAGTTTATCCTATTTGATAAAGGTACTTGAAATGTAGATTTGTAAGAAATATCAGTGTTTCAAAATGCATTTCAGTGTTTAATTAGATCAAAGTAGATTCTGAAACACTGACATTTCTTACATTTCCGCAATAAATGTCCTATACCAAACAATATTGTTACTGTTTTGGGAGGTCTTGATACATGCTGCCTAAATCTTAGGAACTAATGTTATTTACTGAAATGACACTTTCCAGTGGAAGATATTCCTCTGGCAAGTTTACAGCTGGCTCTAGGGTTTGTGTTATGACTCTCCTGTCAGCGTGTAAGCTGGCAGAACTCAATGATATTCAGGAAGGTATAGGGCATCCTCTGAGCTCTAGGAAGGTTTCTGTATTATTTCATGAAATCTGAATACAGTTCATTTTTCCTGAGGCAGTGTAGCTGTGTCTTTTAGGCATGTATAATCATTAAATTAATGATTTGCTTATACAAAGGACTACATAATCAACAAAATTTAGCTATGGAAAAGATAGTAATGAAGTTCTTATCCCCATGCTTCTGCTTGTTACCAGGAACGCATTTTTTTAGTTGATTCATATTTCTCTCAGCTTTTTATAGTGCATATTAGTAGCATAAATGGCAATTTATTTTTGACAATATTACGAATTACAATTTATTCTGTTTTATCATCTTTAATAGGTAGATATTATTAAAGCAGAAAAGAATGAAGGAATTGGTAAAGTCAATGTTATCTAGAGAATATTGGAATTTTAAAATTTAGAGAATTTAAACTCAAGTGGCTTCATAAGCCTTGGTTAATACTGCAATGTTAAAAAAAACACGGAAAGCTTAATATTAGTCCTTCTGTGAATACATATAATAGGAATCAAATCTTTTGTTCTGATGTCAAGCAACTGCACAAAACACTAGGAAGTCAATAGCATAAAGAATGTGTGAGCACAAGTGCCTATTCAAAATTCTATTATTATTTTCCAAAGTAGAAATCATGAAAAATGGGATAGGTCCCTGGCTGAAGTCTGGACTAGCATGCATAAGAAATTATGTGACATTTTATTCCTAAATAACTGCTCAGCTCCTCAGAAGGAACAGCTCACATGTTCCTTCTAATCATTTACACAGGATTCTTCCACTTTTGTGGATGGTGAAAAAAAAAAAAAAAAGTAAAGCCCCTCATAACTTGTGCCTATAAATGCAAGGAAAAAGTCTGATAGTAACAGAAAAGAAATTCAACAGTTATAGTTTGATCCTAAATCTTCTTTAACCTAACATGAATTAGACAGACCCAAAATACAGTTGCTTTTATGGACCTATCCATCCTCACCACTAAGTAGAAACTCTATATGGAGAGTCATATTATTAGATAGTGCATGGGAATTTTTAACTCCCGATACAGTAGTTAACTACTGTCATGTATTGCAGCTATTGACTGCTCAATTTCCTTAAGTTTATTACACGTCTTCATTTCCTGAATGATCGGAGATTACATTTAATTACAGAAAATGATTAGCTAAAACATTTAGCAAGCATGCCACCTCCATCTGTTTTATGAAGTACTGGAAATAGAAATCAGCAATGTTTAAAACATATATTCACATATACAACTCTTTAAAACACTTTCATTGGCGGAAGTTTAATAAGAGAATCAATAACAAGTCCTAATAACAGATTGTATGATCCAACAGGTACAGGTTAAGTCAAGATTGCAAAAAATAATTGGTTAACATGCTGAAGAGATTGAAATGATATTGTAGCTGACCAAAGCATTAAAGATTTCTAATGCAACTTTAGAGGAATTGAAAGCATAGCACATTTGTCTTCCATGAAGACTGAGGCATGTTTACTTTAAATAATACTCCAAACAAACAAGTTTTTATTTTCATAGTTAGCAATATTATTATGGTTGATACTGGTAAGATATTTTCAAGATAGACATTATTTATCTGGCTGGCTTAATTCCTATGGAAATATTGAACACAGAATGTTTAAGGTACATATGACCAAAATTCAGGATATTTTTTGGTATTGTAAAACTTTGCATAGCGTCTTGTTTTGCAAGATTACTGTAAAACTTGGAATTAGTTGAGTCTAGAATCTGTTTGATGTGGATTCTGTAATTTAGTAATGTAAGTGAAATTAAGTATATATGCTTGTAGTCAGAATAGGCAGAACAGAGAAACATGAAAGATAAAATTCCCAGCAGTTATTTCTCAGGATGAGATGGTTCTGTTTAATCTGAGCGTCTGTGGTTTATGTTGGTTTTTCAATATAGTTGAGCAAAACAAATAACATCGCTAAAATTCACACAATTCATTTCTTGATATCATTAAGCTTATCTACAAAACTTTAAACTATTCAACCATTATCCTAGCGTAGCATAAGGAGCAGAAATAATCAGCCATAAGCGTCACTGCTGCTTAAGCCAACAACAAATCATTCTCAGTCCTAGGATTTCTGTCGGTTGTTCAAGGCCGGTTGAAAACATGCAGCCAGAATTCATCCTCCCTTGGAGAGGCAAGTGACCCCTCTGCCTTGGAACTGGTGATCCCAGCAAATGTTATATTGTAGAACTTCTTGATTTTAAGGGCTTCTCTTCATCATTAATAAAATTTAAAGTATAAAAATAAATGTTTAATATAGTCTCCTGGAATCAAGAGTACATATATACATTTAAAAATAATCCTTAAATGATGTAGGAGTGATCTGCATCCTGGTTATGTGCACCTACATTACTTCTCAACCAACAAAACATACACTTCTTAAAATTACAAGAAACCCCCACCCCATCTATTATGAATTGCCAAATGTTTTATTTATAAAATAAATACTGTAACAGCATCTTACAAATGCTAGATCTGTTTGGCTTGGATACGCAGGCAAAGTACGAAAAAACACCTGGTATGAGATTACACAGCAAAACTTAACTTTACTAATAACAGCTTTGATATAATTAGGAATTAACTGTTTCAACTCCCTAGGTATGGGGGATGTCCCACATATTCTACAGAGGATTACTAAAATGTCTTGATTTGTATGAGAGTGTTTAGCGCTTCTACAGACTTAAGTGTTGGCTTCCAACTTTTCCTCCTCCCTTCCCAAAACATGCTCTGTTCCAGTTCATGTGCCAGTATTTTCTGCCTGTAGATATCTGACTATGTGCATATGTTCCTCTGTTGAATTTGCAAATGTATTAAACAATTTCCCTTCCCAGTTGTAGCTTCTATTTTATTAACACTGCTAAAAGAGTAAGTCTGACTCTTGAAATAAAACTCTTTGTTGACCATAAGCAGTTCTCCTGTAACATTAGGTCTCCCTTTTTTTTTTTTTTTTTTTTTTTTTTTTTTTTAATTTCAGGAGGGGGCTACTATTAATCTGTCCAGCTCTTAAGGCTAAGAGTCAGCCACAATATGGGTCTTAATTTATAAATTTCCCCTGCTTGTTGCTTTCTCCAATCTTCTGTGTATGTCAGATTCTTCAGCCCCTTTGTGGCCCTTTTCTGGACTTGCTCCAGTAAGTCCACGCTAAGTAAGTTACCAAGCAGTTACAGTAAGTTACCAAGCTCTCTCGTAGTGGGGAGCCTACTGGTGGACACAGCACTCCAGATGCTTACCCATGCTGAGCAGTGGGGAAAGATCGCCTCCTTCAGCTTGCTGGTGATGCTCTTCCTAATGCAATCTAGGATGCTTTTAGCCTTCCTTGCTGCAAGGGATCACTGCTGGTTCATGGTTAGCTTAGTGTATACCAAGGGCTGCACAAAGGGAGGAAGACAAATAGTGGCATCAGTGGAGAAGCAGGATCTTACCCACTCCATGACTGATATCACTAATGTTGTGCCCAGTAGCAGTTTATACAGGAGATGAGAAGCAGAGACAATATTAAAATAATATGTTTAAAAACATCACTTCTGTTTATATCATAGCATCCTGACAAAATGAAGAAAACAGAAATATTTTAATGATAATAAATGTTAACTTTATGTATATAGTTTCCCAATAGAAATGTTCAGTAGAATGCCCTAGAATACCCTACTTTTTTTTTTTTTTTTTTTTAATAAACAGAAAAATATGTTATAATGCTTTAATGCTCTACTTCTATTAGAGTTTTTAAAAATAATTTTAGTTTTAGTGGAGAAGAAAACTCAGATTTCTTGATTAAACTACGAAACTAGTAAGTACTCCTGAATTAGTTTTAGGCAGAACTTAAAGCGTTGTGCTGCATTTTTTACAATGTAAAAAAACAATATTATTTTTAAGTCTTAGCTACTCAGTATGTTTCAATGGCTTAAGAGTGTAAGACTGAAGTGGAATTAAATCATCTTTGTCTAACAAATTTGAAAATGTAACAATGAAGAAATACCTCAACAGCTTTTCACTATATTCAGTATCCAGTTACACAGAATCATCAGTACCAAAGTAGCCACTGCAGAAAGAACAGTTTTGAAATAATGTAATTTCAGTTTTTCCTAAGTTTCCTCCTTGCTTAGTGGCTGATTTGAGCATTGCAGCAGGACTGTGAGTATTGCTTATAGTAGAAAGTGCCTATATAGATTCATGCATACAGATAGCACTTGATTTGAATAGTTGTCGTGCTAATGGACAGTGATTTAGGGGCAAAAAACGAGTCACCTTACAAAAAGGAGCCTGTGGTCCTCACAATAACCTAGGTTAAGAATTGCTCAAAATTTTAATTTCAGATGGTTGTGTTTTATCTGCTTGGAGGGTAAATATGCACAATCTTCCACAGGCTCTTTTCTTAATAATGATTGAATATGTTACATCAACTTTTATTGCTTATTTAGTTAGTTCTTTGGAAAACAAGTTAAAACAGTAGCAAAATCTAGCGGAGAAGTGCACTTTTCAAGGAGTGTGCATACAGTATTAAGTGTATAGGAAGCCATTTATTAATATATCAATATAAGCAACAGCTATGAGATAAAGTATTTTGACAAGGCTAGTAACAATACACTCTTAGAGGTAGTTAGCACAGAGAGGGCTAACTAGCCAGCAGGAGCTTTAGGCAACTGAGCAGTGATTACTAGATGTTTATTTTATTTTATTTATTTTATTTTATTTTATTTTATTTTATTTTATTTTATTTATTTAAGAATTAAACCTTTTTTTCTCTGCATTTATAAAAAAGTAAAAATTTAAACAAAGGACATAAATACTGAATGCCTTATACCGAAGAATTACATACTCTATTTTTGTAAGAGCTGGGGGAACTTCTATTTTTACTGCTTTTTTTTCTACATCTTGTAGCAAAAATGTTCACAAGTTAATGTTAAGACTATAATGTAAAGTTTATGCAATTAAAGACCATAAGAGAGTTTATAGACCATTTGTCATTGGATATGGGTCATAAACTGTGAGTTTCAGAAAATAAGGAAGGAATTCCATTTGTAGTTCACTGTTGCCTGAAGCCTACCTAATGAAATCTTTCTTAGTCATAGAACTAACAGTGTATCTAGCTGAGAAGCACTGAATATTCACTGTGCATATTAAACTTGAAAAAGTAGAATGAAATCTTGCATACTCGCAGGGGCTTTTTGTTGGGTACAGTTCAACCAAAATTAGACAGCTCTTGTTCATTTAGTACATGCAAAAGGAGACGAACCTTTAAAATTCCACACTGTCAGCTCCCATCATTTCATATGACAGCTGACTGTTTGAGTGTAATGCACACAAGCCATACTAAGTGAAAAGCTGCTAATGAATACAATTGCTTTTTTTAAACCAAGGGAAAAGAACACATTAGCCAGTGTTTTGTGGATATATTCTGTGACGTGAAAAGGATTCTCTGCTGGTCTTGTTTGATCTTACCTGTGTAGCTGCATAGAACACTGGTGTAAAGAAGTCTATTGATTTTCTTTAAAGAGATAATGACTTTTCTGTTCTTTTCTGACTTTAATGTGATATATAATATTGTCTCAAAAATTAAATACATGATAAAGAGGTGTATTTTTTTTTTTTTAAACAATTAAAAAAAAAAAAGATTCCTAAAGATCTGTTTGTAAATATTGTACTCTCTGGATCTCATTTCCTGAAGAGTTTACTATCTTTGTCTTTCATTTAAGTCAACTGGGAATGTATTCAGCAGGCTAGAATAGAATAGAATCAGTCCTATTGTAGATGTAAAATGGGATTAATTAAAATTAATTTCCTATATTTCCTGTTGCTTGTATTTTTGTGATGGTACTCTGGGAACTTTTAATTTTCATTTTCCTTTACCAAAGCTTATTGATGTGAAAAGTAGAAGAAACCTTTTTTTTTTTTTTTCTTTTTTTTCTTTTTCTTAAGGTGACTTTTGTAGTTAGAAAGTAGGGATCTTCAAACTTTAGAGCCGAGATTTCCAAAATCTTCTATCAGCAAATTTTTTGACTTTTAAGGAAGAATGGTGTCCACTGGACAGGATCTTCAATGACAGTCATAAGTGAGAGCAGAAGCTGAATCTGTCCTCTCACATACAGAAAATAGCTTTTAAAATGTAGGGTATGTTTTCCATGTTAATAAGACAATTAATATGAAATTTTACTATTTAAATGTACTAGTTTAATACATTTTGCAAGTAATACAAAGAGCATTAATATCTGCCACTATAAAACAGGGGCTGTCATACACAGGTTATGGAATGTTCTTTAGTACTTGTGACATGCAATAAAAAATACAATAAAAAAGAAAGAAAAATTATTTTCTTAAAATAAGTGTACTTGAATACAGAAAAATCTAGGTTCTGTTGTGATTTACTGTAAGAGTCTAGTGTACTTACCTATCTATTGCCTTTATTTTTTCATTTGTAGAGGTGGGATGCATTATCATTTTCCTTAATTCATTAGGGCTTGTAAAGCACTTTGAAATGCTTGGGCAAAACAGCTTGCAGCAGTGCAAGTTATTATTTGATTAATCTGACTTTATCGGAGGCAAGCCCACTAAATTATGGTTTAATCTCAATTTCATATGAAAGACAAAGTCCTTAAAGGAAAAGTCTTTAAAGGAAAGAAGTGATATTTAAAGTGAAATGCTGGTGCTATTTACAGACAGATGACATATTTTAAGATATTGAAATATTGCATCCATCAAGTTTTAAAATCTTTCACTTACCATGCAAAAAGAGCACCATACCATCGAATTATATTTAAACATGCTGTATGATTTCAGGCAAAATTAGAGTTCAGATTCAAGAACAGCAAAATTACAATTTTTTATAATTTTTTTTTTTTTGTCACTAAATTGCAGGCTTACCAGCTGTTGACTTCTGATTTATTTTCTTGTACTTTGAAGTCTCATTAACCTTGATAGTCCCAAACACTTTCAGGAAAATTTCTATTTGAACTGATAAATAGGCTTGGGTTGCTGATTTGATGTAGCACAGAAGTTATAAGAATACTTTAAATCTGTGCTTTGAGCTCAAAATCCTCAATCCCCTGAAAATTCAAAATGTTTTGCATAGTCCCAGATTCTGCTAATTACTGTTATCTGAAACAAATGCTGTTTAATTTTAGGCATATTTTTATTACTCTTTCCATTCACTTTGTGTGGTTTCCTGGATGACAGCTGGCTTATCATTGTGGAAATTATGAAGATAGCTTCTCGCTAAGGATAAAAATTTCTAAAAGGGGAATCTCCAAAGGGAAACTGTCCTCTTATTTTGTTGTTATGCAAAAACCTGGCAAGACTTGGAAGTAATCTGGAAACTGCCTATTACGTTTTCTTTGAAATCTTCACAATTCCACTTTCTTATATTGAACTACCCACTACTGTTAGTAATGTGGAAAAACTCTATTTATGTTAAACTCTAAAATTACATGGTGGAAAAAAAACAATTTGTCTATGAGCTTTGAAGTTTGCATGTTTGTTTTGTGTGCTGGTGTCTCACTGTGTAATATAATACGTTATTCCTAAGACTTTTCAATAAAAATAAACAAATAACATCTATGATCAGTTTTTCTAAAATGCACATTAACATAATGGGCAGAAAGTTTAATGTTGAACATTATTTTCATACTTTTTAAATGTAATTTGGATGCTTTTTTTTTTTTGCATTATTTAAAATCGCTAAGAGCATATAAAAATCTAAATACTTCATGAAAGTTAGTTCTAAACAGAGCTCCTTGTGGTCTGGATGTGCCTATCTCCCTCTCATAAAATCAAGCTTATCCTTTACTTTCATTTGGCTTGCCTAGATATACTTAAAGATCAAAAACATGTGCTGTTCCAGGTGTGCTTGTGAGCAGGCACCACTGATGCGGTTTTATGTAAAGATATAAAAATTCTGTGCATGAGCTGTCACAAATTGTTTGGCTGAACAAAGTCACTGTTACTAAAGCACTGCTGATATTCTTAAATGGAAATGCAATGAGAAACACCTGTGTGAAAACTAGATTAGTAGAATTGAAAATCATCATGGATTCCAGGTCAGACTTAAGTAAATAAGATGGTTCAGGGAAGGTCAAATAGTATCCATGTTCTCAAGTGGTGATGAAAACTTCAATTGTAAAGAGTCCAGAAACAGGTGTGATTGTTGTATGGCAGGAGAATAGAGAGCTTTGCTTTAAACAGAATGTTTAAAATTCTTCAATTAAGAATGATGTACCAGCAAAGGGTATGCTTACTTATGAGCCTGGATGGGTTGCAAAGTGCCTGTAGGAATCCAGAGAAAACAGTCTCCAACTTTGCCTTGATAGCTATAAGCCATAGAGCACTCAACAGAGTATAGTGTCCAAACAGGTGCACTGGATAGCATTATGCCTCTTTTTGTGAGCCCATGTAAAGACCTGACACAAACAAACAATGGAATTTGGTCACACATTGCATTGTATGACTGGAACCTGAATTCATCACATAGCGCAATGCATCCATTCTTCCCTCTGCTTTCATGCTTCCACAAGTATAGCACTTCCTTTGAGTGATGGGTTAATCCTGACAGGCTTTATGGAAAATTGTCTTCAGAAGAGCTATTTAAATGAAGAGGATGAATGCTTACCATATGAAAACAGAAGACTGAAAATGTTTCTAGCAAAATTCAGTTTTGCTTTTGTTCAAAGTATGTTTTTGTTTATATCTGCACAATTTGGGTATGGCTGATCTAGCACAAAAAAAAAAAAAAAAGTAGATTAGGAAAAGTAAAGATCACTGGAAAACAGAATACTAAGGTCCTTAATTAAGCCAGGCAGAGACAGTCTATTCACTTTAAACGGAGGCATATGGCAAAGATTGGTTCACTACTGGAACTGACAACTGGGCTCTGTTCTGTTGGTTCCAACAAAAGCAGCAGGTAGAGAGGGAGGAAATAACAAATGCAGCCATGCCATAAACAAGCCTAGGGAATTACAGGGGACTAAGCTGTAAGAGTATGCTAAATTACACCTATACATTAATCTTCCTTGTTTTCTTGCTACAAAGGAGCACATCTAAATGTTTGTAAATAAACATGGGAAAACTTCAGACCAGCACTGCTAGGATGTATATATATATATATATATATATATATATAGATATATAGATATATTTTTTTTTTTTTTTCCTGGAAACTCCTCATAGGTTGAATCCTTGCTTAAATCAATTGAAATTTTAAATGAGACATCTACATGCCGGCTTTTGTTTGGGTTTGGGGTTGCTTTAAATAGTAATTTTGTGAGACTTACATAGGAGGAATTTTAATACAAATTAATTACAAAGAGAATTTGTGCAGAAGATAGTTGACATGCATCTTTGAAACACTACTTGTGTTTGTGCCAAAACTGTGCTAGAAGTGTGAAACAGAAAGCTTTATATGAAACATACACGTGCAATAAAAAATACACTCTTATGTAAAAAATAAGAAAAGATAAATAAAGGAATTTCTTATTTATTGAAAATAACATCGATGTATTTATGAACATACTGTATTCCACTGTAGTTGTTCACTAACTTTTCTTCCACAACAGCAATATTTCAGATTGATTTTTTTCAGTGTGAGATTTGCCAATACACATTTGCATTCCTGTATATAAAATATAAGCAATACATGTTTCCCCCACATCTTTTAAAAATCATTTTCCTCTACAAATACTTTGCTGTTCTTGATGAATATCTCAATGCAATGCACATTGAAAACTAACAGCCTGGTTGGATTATCCCTCACAGTGTTTATCACTAGCGTTGGTCAAGCCTCGCACCACCTTCATTGGTGTAACTTTCCTGTCAGAAAGAGAGCTGGTGAAGTGAAATCAAGCTGAATCTTTTGTATTAAGGGAAGATATTTCTTGATCTTTCATTTTTTTTCCACTAATGTTCCATCCTTATCCCCCCTCTGCCTTTCCATGCAGTTCCTGGTTTCATATGACAAAGGAAGAGAAGGTCATTTTAAACAGGTAGATATTCCTTACAGACTGTTCTCTTTTCCTTTGCAGCAATGTACATCAGAAACGGTACTACTTGCACCAATTTACTCACCCCACTGTCATTAATTACTATGAAAATACAGAGAATGAAGTACATTTTTTTTTTTTTAACTGATGAGTTGCAAACAGCTCTTGCTTGTACTTGTATTTTAGGATTATTTTCATGGTCTATTGTATGCTAGTAACTAAATCCAGAATCTGATCAGCTAGTATTCTGAATCCAGAATCTGATGTGGAATTACTAGGTAGAAAGGTGTAAGTAAGACTTAAATTTTGGATTTAATCCTTCTCTAAAAGACTAAAGTGAAAATCTGAATTGTAGGAGTAGTAAATTAGGCAGTGAAGGTTATAGTCTTTATATTTAAAACAAACAAACAAACATTTTAAATCACCTTATAAAACTTATTTACCCACAATTCTGCTGACACCAAAAGCTTGCTAGAGCTCAGAGACAGATTAAAAATTTACAGATATGCTCAAAACATTTGCAATTTCCCTAAATAAAATTTCTGAAAAGGGTACAAAAATGGTTTTAGAAAAAGATTATTAGTTCTTGGGTTAAAAACACACACACGCACACAAAACAAACAGCAAAAAAACACCGAATCCATTAACAGCTGGTTATATCATCCTTTTGCCTTAAAGAAAATCTTATTCAGGCCTGTGGAAGTGGCCATTTTATCTTACAGGGCACAGCTAGACAAGACCTGAAATGATAAATACAGCTGTTCTTACACAAGTGAACCAGAAGTGTATTACAAAGAAATGCTTCAGTCACTATTAAGCATTTACTAAAGACATTATTTGACTGTAATACATTGTTTCAGCAGCTCAGAAGAAAATTGTTTCTGGCATGAAGAGCTGGGTGTCACATCAGAAACAAATATTTGACATTTTCTTGTTTCCATCATGCCTTGTCAGTATAGTTTTATAAACATCCATGAAGTTTTGCACACAGTAAGGATAAAAAGGAACACTAATGATAGAGTATTCACTGAGTGGATGTCACATGCAAGAATTTATACTGCAGTACAATTGGAAAATTCTTGCCAGTAAGAAAAAATGTTATAAAATTAAATTTTATCTTATCTTTTATCTTTAATGATAAAACTATGCTACATCAATATACATAGCAACACAATAATGTAGCAGCTTTAGTATTAAAACGTGTAACTTTTTATGCTGTCAAGCAATTTTTTTTATTATATTTATGAGTCAATTCTGAGGCTTATTTCATTATTTAATGCCACAAATTTTGCCAGAATTCTGATACTGATGTTATAACTGCATTTTTGAACGTGCATTCATTGTAGAAAGCTTGTCTTCTTCTTATTTTATCCCAGAAGCTAATTGTTGTGTCATATTTCATGAATGTGCCAACAAAAAATTGTGAAGAAAATAGAAAATGAGTACAATCTATTACTGTTTTTGGTACAAGTAGATTTTATATCCCAACAGCATAAAAAAGATGAAATGATTTCAAATATCCTGTGTTTCACATCTCAGTTCTGAATCATATAGGTTGCCCAGAAACATAAAAACCAACATACCTGATTATAATTCCTCTTAATTTTCAGCTAATATGAAAACATATTAAATAGTAAGTAAATCAAAGTAATTTCAGATTTGTCATGGTTATAAAGCTAACGTTTGGAATTTGGAGTACATTATGGTACTCTGACAAAAATTGTCAGCTGCTCAGCTTGATGTTTTTTTGATTAGCCTATACTAGCAAATAGTAAACCCCAAAGTTCCATATTGCCAAGCCTTAATGCTATGACTGTGACTAATATTTCCAGAGAATTTGTAAAGGAAATGTGTGAGCTTTTGGCCAACAGTCTTAAGGGATATTATAGTATTTTATAGCCATGTAGGAGAGTGTGGATTTAAATGTTGCTTTCTGTTCAGTTTGGATGCAGCTTTTATGTCATTTTTTTTAGGGTAATCTTCCTGAAGATAGGGTATTTATGATTTTTGAATACCTTCTCTTGTATCCCAACTCATTTGTAATTTAGCATATTTAAAATGAAACCAAGACACTGTTTTGTATTGCTGAAAATTTTTCCTATTTTTTCTAGTTAAAAAGCTCAAATACACATTGACTGAGAGAATTTTCACTTAATATTTTAAACTATAATAATTATCTAATTATCTATTTCAAGCCCCACCAAAATTTGATCTGTTACAGTGTTCTATTTATGATATTTGATAAATACATTTGTTAGAAATAAAATTGACAGATTTATTTTTTAAAAGATTTTATTTTTTTTTAAATTCTCACTGTTTTAAATCTGAATTCATGTTTGAACATGGAAAATAAGAAAAGAAATGAGTGTCATGGTATATTTGCGTAGTGTATAATAAGGAGTATATGTATATATATGTATAGTATGTATATAGTGTATATTAAGAGGGAATAGCTGGATGAGGAATTTTATGATGTCCTTCAGTAGTGAGCTGAATCACTTTTTTTTTTTTTTTTAATTTCTGCATCAATTAAACTGTTTTTAATAGTGAAAAGACTGATTAAAATGTTCATACCAGTATAAGAATTTAAGGAAGTTGTATGTATGATTATGTCACTCTATTTCTGGAAAATTGCTTTTGAAGCAATGGAGCATGTATTTGCTTCTGAATACATTCAGCTTGAAGGACTCTTGATACTACTTTTGCAGTTACTTCAATATCTTTTTGTTTATACTAGCTTCACTATATTTTTTACTTTTTTCTAATCATTATATGTATTTTGATATAAATGGATACAGAATTGCCTCTTGAGGGAGTGTAAAAATTTTTTCTTTGCCAAAGTAAGCAACTTTTCCACCACTCTGTGTCAGAATGCATGTAATTATCATTACAGAATGTTGACCAATGTGACAAAAACAAAATAAGTATCGTATGAATGAAAATGACTCAATGATAATATAAATTGCGATCCTTCTGTTTTCTCAGCTGTTAATTGCAAATAATAAAGATTTAAGAATGGTTTTACAGAAGTTTCTGTGGAAACTCCAGTGATATTTTCTGTTTCCAGCTCTTTTTACTTCAAATAATTTAGGTATTTTTGATATGTAGATTACAAAATTGAATTAAATGTGGGCCTGAAACAATGAAATAGTGTTTGAAATATTTTTTTTTTTAAGTCAAGCCATTATGTTTGAAGAAGACATCAAAAGAAGTTTCAAATGGATGAATCAGTTCAGTTATGCCATAGTGTTGGTTAATTTTGAAACTAAGAAATTGTGGAAAACCCCCTAGCTAACAATATGTTTTAAGTGTATATGTATACATATGCATATATATGTATGTATATAACCAAACAAGTTGTAGGTAGCACCTGCAATTTGAACCATTTATTTTTTTCTAAGTTTGCAAGCATTTTTCTCATCTCTTTTCTCTACTGTCTTTTACACCACGTTACCTTTCATTTATAAAAAAAATGTTTTTTACACATGTAGTGATGTAGAAATAATAATAATGAATATGCTATATAAGGGAAAGATACTGAAGGATAAGGAATAAATGTAACAAGTGAGTTGAGTGAGACTGATTGTTGAGGCATAGTGGTGTAATCGACCGCATATTTAGCACCTTTATTAGTTTAATGATTATTGGCAGTATATATATGGATCCTCAGGAAGAAATTTCTATTTTTTTTTATTTTTTCTTTTTATTTATTTTCTTTTTATTTTTTTTCTTTTCTATTTTTTTTTAAATAAATTTGTGATTTTTATATTCTGATTTATATGGAATTTTAGAGCATTTTATTTTCATGTTAGCATGTCTTTGGCTTTATTGCAAGTCCAGCAGCGACTCCAATGACAGGTTGATAATTTTATGTCATTCCTTTAATCTTGGCTGAAGTAGAGTTTCTATGAAGCTCACAGATCTAATTGCTCTTTCTTTAAATGTCTACTGTAATGAAAAAAATAGGTCTTGTGTCTTGGTGGTGCTCGCACTTCCCAGGAATTGAAAGTATTGAATATCCTTATAAATATGAAAAGATTTAGAATCCATTACAAAACACGTCTGCTGGAAGATTTCTGAATTTTTAATGGAAAAATATTATTTGCAAAATGACTTGTAAAATATTTTGTGTTTGTAGGGACTACAGTTTGAATATAGGGATGCTATTTCTGTTGTATTATGTATCCATATATATATACGTTTATATATATTCTTCCAAAAGTTGCATTATTTTAAATTAAGATGTTACATTCAAGTTCAGACATCTGAGCAGTTTCCCTCCTTCCATTGGTCTCTTCATACTCGTCATTCCCACATCATGCATACATACTCAGACTCAAGTCTAGGGCTTGTAAGGGAGATTCCAGATCAACTCATCTGAATTTGTACTTTTACCCATCTTCTGAAGATACAGGAAGTTTTAAGTTTTCTGTCAGTCTACTCTAAGTTTCATCCCCCATATCCATTACATCAGCATCTGAATGACATTTTCAATTTCATTTGTAGTGTGGTTGTATTTTCCTGATTTTGAAACTGTCACTTAAACCCAGAATGTTAGCTGAATGCTGTCATTAGCTATGAGGTAAGTGTTATACTATATTAGCATCAGAGAGTATAGTGTACGTGCCTGCAAATACGTGTGCATGTGCATGCCAGGGAAGAAGAAATATTTCTATTCGGCTAAGTAAAATACTCTTTTACATCTTCTAATCTTTCCCTGTACTTTCTCTCTGAGGCTGTAGGGGTGGAGAAAAGTAATTTTACATAATAACTGTATTTCAATATTGTTATTAGGTCATGGAGTTGTTTTATTTCACTTAGTATTGTCAAGTGGCAGAGGATTATCATAGAATCTATCATAGAATGATAGAATGGTTGGAAGGGACAGAATCACAGAATCACAGAATTTCTAGGTTGGACGAGACCTCAAGATCATCGAGTCCAACCTCTGACCTAACGCTAACAGTCCCCACTAAACCATATCCCTAAGCTCTACATCTAAATGTCTTTTAAAGACTTCCAGGGATGGTGACTCCACCACTTCCCTGGGCAGCCTGTTCCAGTGTCTAACAACCCTTTCGGTAAAGAAGTTCTTCCTAACATCTAACCTAAAACTCCCCTGGCGCAACTTAAGCCCATTCCCCCTCATCCTGTCACCAGGCACGTGGGAGAACAGACCAACCCCCACCTCGCTACAGCCTCCTTTAAGGTATCTGTAAAGAGCAATAAGATCGCCCCTGAGCCTCCTCTTCTCCAGGCTGAACAAGCCCAGCTCCTTCAGCCGCTCCTCGTAGGACTTGTTCTCCAGGCCCCTCACCAGCTTCGTTGCCCTTCTCTGGACCTGCTCAAGCACCTTGATGTCCTTCTTGTAGCGAGGGGCCCAAAACTGAACACAGTACTCGAGGTGCGGCCTCACCAGAGCCGAGTACAGGGGGACGATCACCTCCCTAGCCCTGCTGGTCACAGTGTTTCTGATACAAGCCAGGATGCCGTTGGCCTTCTTGGCCACCTGAGCACACTGCTGGCTCATATTCAGCCGACTGTCCACCATCACTCCCAGGTCCTTCTCTGCCTGGCAGCTCTCCAACCACTCATCTCCCAGCCTGTAGATCTGCTTGGGGTTATTGCGCCCCAGGTGCAGGACCCAGCACTTGGCCTTGTTGAACTTCATACAGTTGACCTCAGCCCATCGGTGCAGCCTATCCAGATCCTCCTGCAGAGCCTTCCTACCCTCGAGCAGATCGACACACGTGCATAGCTTGGTGTCATCTGCAAACTTACTGAGGGTGCACTCAATGCCCTCGTCCAGATCATTGATGAAGATATTAAAGAGGACCGGCCCCAGCACCGAGCCCTGGGGGATGCCACTAGTGACTGGCCTCCAACTGGACTTGACTCCATTTACCACGACTCTTTGGGCCTGGCTATCCAGCCAGTTTCTAACCCAACGAAGCATGTGCCAGCCCAAGTCAAGGACCATCCAGTTCCAACCCCCCTGCCATGGGCAGGACACCTCCCACCAGACCAGGTTGCACAAAGCGTGGCCTTGAAGCCCAGGGATGAACCCCTTGAATCCCTGAGCCCCAGGGATGGGGCATCCACAGTGTCTCTGGGCAGCCTGTTCTTGTGCTTTACCACCCTCACAGTAAAAGATTTCCTCCTAACATCTAATCTAAATCTCCCCTCTTTAAAGCTGTCATTGTCCTATCACTGTCTGTCCGTGTAAAAAGTCACGGAGTGAGTCATCTTTTTATAAGCCCCCTTTAAGTAATGAAAGGCTGCAATGTGGTCTTCCCAGAACCTTCTCTTCTCCTGCCAGCACATTGCCAGCCATCTTAGCTTTTCTTCATAGGAAAGGTGCTCCTCTATTATATCACTTTTTAAAATATCTTTGTACGTAGTTCCTATTACAACCAAATTAAAAATAGCTTGCTAAATCTCTGAATACTTTTGTCAGTAAAAACAAATAGTTTATTGGACAGGACATAAAAAAAATAAAGCAAATTATTTCTACTGATTCTAATTATAATAATGGAGAAGGTTTTAATTTATTAATGCATAACTGTGAATGAGTATGACAGTTTAAATGCCCAGTTTACTTTTGCTTTGCTAGGAATTGTTTTAGGACATGGAATATTAATTTAAGAAAAAATATTGCAAGCATTTGGAAGAATTACAAATAAAATCATATGAAAATCTACTATTGTTTCCCTGCTTCCCATCTCAGTTTTCACTATTAGTTTACTACAGTAGAAATCCAAATGAAGGAGTCCAAACTTTCCACTTGTGAGAGAGAATGCCTCACAACATTTTAAATACAGACCGTCTGAATTTGAGTGAAAGAAGATATCTATATACATATTTCCAAACAACTGTGAATTGTTAAATATTAAAAAAAAAAAAATGTTGGTGGGTTTATTTTACTTTATGCTTTTGTTTCTGATCAGCAGACACAATTTAAAGTCCAAGCAATTTCCTTTCCTTTCACTAGCCATTCTCCAGGAAAAAAAAAAAAAAGTAAAAAAAAATAAATCTGAGAAATAGAACAAAAAAGTGAAAAGCCAGAAGCAAGACACATTAAGCACTGGTGAGAAAGAAAACCATATGGTCCAGTGGTTAAAGACAAATTCAAAGGCAAGAAGATCTTTATTTTGAATTTCTAATTTGGAAGTCATTCAATCTCTTTCAGCCACACTCAACTTTGTTGGCAGCATGGGTAAAACAGCAGGACATCACTATAAACCATATATTTCCAGATAGTTTATGATAGTTTATCTGGGTAAACAGATACTCTGAATGCTTTAAAATATTTGTGTTTTCCTTTAAAAAAAAAAAGAAAAAAAAGGCAACTCACTACAACAGTGCAGCTTCATCAGATTTGGGAGCACACATTAAGTAGTATAGAGCTGTTACAGCAAGAGGAAAACATGAAAGACAAGATACAAACCATAACACTAATCTTGAGAGCCCTCTTAGAGTTGTAGAGGAATGGAAAGAAACCAAGATTATATTAGTCAAACAGTAGATGAATAACCAATTTAGTGAGTAAAGAATGAAATGGAAACCATCCTCTGAACAAAGAGCAACATCTGCTTTCAGTCATGTCAGAATGAATCCAGAAGAACTTCAGTAACTGATTTGAATGAACTAGGTTAACACTGCATACTGGTGTATTGGTGTTATGGGGTGAATGTTTCTATAATATAGCACTTTCTGATCTAGAGAAAGAGAAATAAGCTAAAGAGTAAGAGTACTATTTGGTGAACAATAGTTTGATTTCTTCTAGTAGATCAAATGCCCTGTTAGGAGACAATATGTTGGAGGAATTCATAAACAGATCAAAATTCAAGATGAAACAAGGCCTATACTATGGACACAAATTAGACCCATCTGCGAATTGCTAGGCCTCTGTTTCTCTCTCATAGTTTCCCAACGTGGGCAGGAAAAAAAAAACAACAAGCATATTCTCACATATTAATTAGGAAAGAATTCATTCAGCATATCTCAGTTTCCTGTAAAGAGGTATTTTCCTGTTAATCTCAGTACTATGGTCAAGACAGTAGCACTACCAGTCCACTAATGTAAAAGCTGCTTGTTATTTAAAGTGTGATTGAAAACCCGTTAACTTTATTTTCACCAATTTTATAAGTTTCTCTGATTGCAGACTTGCTAATGTGCGTCATTTGTGTATGTACCTTATATAAAAATATTTTAAAAATAATTTTATGGAGTTTATTCAGAGCCTTTATAGATCATCAGTGACACGTGTCAGCAGTTGAGAGTCACTACACTGGAGCATTGTTTTCTGGGTAATGGAATTCAGTGCTTCTTAGTCATAACATTTCCTGCTTTTTTCTCACTTATCACTTCTACTGCTGTTTTGTATGAAAAATGTTAACCTATCATTATCATCTGCTGCTCTGTTAGCCGACGTGTATGGCAATTCTAAAGACTTCAACTCTGCTGAAGACTTAAAAAAAAAAGGTGGTAAATTACATAGGAAAGGGTTAAATGACAGAACTAAGAGTGGAATTTAATGCAGAAGTTAAGAAATGACAGATTAGATTGCATAAGTAAGCTTCAATTAAGTCCTGTTACATATCTTTAATTATAGCTTGTTGTATTATTATTCCACAAAATCTTGCCTCTTCAATGCCTAGAATGGATCTGTTGTGTGAAAGAAGTAGGGCTATGTAGTGAACGATACAATTGTTTGTAGGACCCTTGATTCACCTGTTCATAAGGAGAAAAGCATATAATTAATGAGTCAGGATAGCTCAGAAATAAAAAGGAAGTTTTTGTTGTCAAGACAATTTGATGCTGCTATAGAGATTTAGAGTTTAATCCTGACTTTAATGCTTACCATCAATGGGCTGTTTAGCAAATCAGTAGAAAAAGACCTTTAGCAGTGTTTGTTATTGTTGTTTTTCTTTTCAACTAATGGTTATTCCCATTTTCTGTATACTTATTTTGAGACCTTTGAAAATGACTGTCAAAGATTGAGCACATGGAGGCTGTGCTTTGTACCTATCAAGTTCTATCACATGCTGAATAACTTGAAAAAATCAGGTCCTGGGACTGAAAATTATTGCATATTTTAAAGTTGCTCTTTGTATTGCTCAGTTCTAGCTGTAAATGGGGTTACTACCTCTCTTCTTCTTTACTGTGAACAAAAAAAATAATTGAAAATGAACAGAGATTATAGTAATAAACAAATAGTAAAACAAGTAATTTTATCTGTGAAAGTACATGTATATAGCACATGGGAAAGTAAGAGCAAAAGAAAATAAGGATTTTTTAATTATTATGCAAATGCTAGCCATTCTGTGCAGTTGGGCTTCTTTAAAAATGTATATGGAACTATCATAATGTATTTATATAAATATACACAAATATATATACACACAACTTATGCATACTGAATTAAAGCTGAAGTCAATGCTTTCCTGGGTGATTTTACTGGCCTTTTTAACCTTTGTGTTTTTTATGTAATCTCAGTTTGACATAGATCACTGTAGCATATGATATTAACCAATTATATCTTGTCAATTAACTTGTCAAACTATTCTGTACGGTTTAGGATGAGGCAGCTTGAAGGTGTAGGTCAAGAGGGGGAATATAAGGAGAATCCCTGCTGACTCACAGGCATAGTGGTATTTAAAGGAAGAAACAAGTACCTGCCAAGAGGTACTGAAAGCAGAAGGTAATGCTACTATTTCTTTTTCTTATCTGTTATAGAAAAAAAGAACAATGTTAGTTTGTCCTAGTTCCACAGTTTCATGGCTTGAACCACTTCTGTCTATGAATGAGAGTAGAAATGCCTTTGGATTGAGTTCAAACAAGGCAGCTGACTAATAGCCTCTTCTGTTAGTTGGTAAGGGTCACCTGTGAAAGAGTGCTTTTTTGTAAGATTGCAGATT